TTTTGGGATTAGCCTCTATTGCCCGATTACTGACCATGAAACCAAGGAATTTCCCTGATCTAACTCCAAAGGCGCATTTTAGGGGGTTTAATTTCATGTGGTATCTTCTCAACACGCCGAACATCTCTCCCAAATGGTCGACGTGCTGGGTGGCCCTAGTACTTTTTACAAGCATATCGTTGGTGTAAACTTCTATTGATTTGCCGAGCAGTTGAGCAAACATTTTATTCACGAGCCTTTGGTATGTAGCCCCTGCATTTTTCAAGCCAAAAGGCATTACTTTGTAGCAGTAAAGGCCTCTATCGGTTATGAAGGATGTGTGCTCTTCGTCAGTTGGATGCATGGGGATCTGGTTATATCTGAAATAGGCATCCATAAAAATCAGCATCTCATGCCCTGTAGTGGCGTCGACCATTTGGTCTATTTGAGTGAGCAAAAAATCATCCTTTGGGCAGGCTTTGTTGAGGTCACTGAAGTCAACGCATGTTCTCCATATCCCGTTAGGTTTGACCACCAAAATGGGGTTCGAGACCCACCGAGGGTAATGGGCCTCTCTAATGAAACCGTTGTTGATTAACTTATCGACCTCTTCTTTCAATGCCTCGTACCTCTCCGGGTTCATTGGTCGGAGCTTCTGACGTTTGGGTGGATATGAAGGGTCGATATTCAGAGAATAGCATATGACTTTCGGGTCGACCCCTTCCATATCCGCATGATTCCTGGCGAAGACATCTAGGTTCTTCTTGAGGAAGCCCTCGACTTCCACCCTAAGTGATGGGGTTAAGTCAGAACCTACTTTTAGCACTCTGGTTGGCTCGTCCTCGTCGACTTGGATTTCCACCAACTGCTCGACGGGTTGAGATCATGCGGCCTCCTCTTGGACCCTGGGGTCTATGTCATCAACGACGCCTTGATAGACCACTCTGGACTCCTGCCTCCCTGGCTGGTCTTATCCGCGCAAGGCATCAAAATATGCAACCCTAGCCTCGTACTGGTTGCTCTTTATTTCGCCTACACCATTTTGGGTAGGGAATTTGACCTTTTGGTGGTAAATGGAGGTTATTGCCCTTAGCGCCTGAAGGGTCGGCCTTCCAATGATGGCATTGTATTGGGAGCCTCCCTTTATGACCACAAAATTGGCCATTATGGTGGCCTGTCGAGGTTTCTCCCTGGCGGTTATAGGCAGCCGGATTGTCCCCTGAGGGATGATGGAATCCCCAGTGAAACCGTACAACAGCCTGGAGGTTTTTTCCAATTGCTCCTTTGGGATCCCCATCTTTTCTAGGCAATCGGAGTATAGGAGGTCTACCGAGCTTCCATTGTCCACCAAGATTCGGCATACGGTGTGATTTCTAATTACAGCTTTTACCACCAAGGCGTCGTTGTGAGGGAAGTGAACCCCGTTGGCATCGTCCTCATTAAATGCTACGTCAGTACTGCCGAACCTTGTTGCTTTTGTGGCGGAGACACTCCAGAACCTTTCCTGGTACACCCCTCTGGCTTCGTGGGCGTAGTCTTTTTGAGATCTCCTCGAGTCTCCTCCAATATACGAACCACCGAGGACGGTCCGTATGACGCCGATGGGTTCCCGGTCCTCTGGTTGCTGGTTCTCCTCTCGATGACCGTCATTTTGGCCACCGTGGCCATCATTTCTTGGTCTCCGCTCGGCCTTGAACTCCTGTAGCCTTCCCTCTCAGATTACCCTTTCTATTTCATCTTTAAGATCGGCGCAATCATTGGTGTGGTGGCCGACTTCGCCGTGGAACCTACAATATTTCTTCTGATTCCTTCAGCTCGGATCTGACCTCATTGGCTCGGGGCGGCGCAGTAAGTTACCGTGACCTACCTGATTGAACACTTCCTCAACTCCTACTGTTAATTCATGGTAGGAATTATAGCTTTGAAACGGTCGAGGCTTGCGGTTCTCCTCTTGCCTTGGTTTCTTAGCTTCTGGAGTGTTCGGCGCTGAAGCAGACTGCTTGTCCCCGCGTCCTCCGCCTCGTCATTTCTTTCTGTCTTGCTTCCCTGCCGTCGACCCTTGCTCAGTCCCTTTATTTTTGTTGGACCTGTGCTTGGGGTCGTTTGCATCTGCTTCCTCGGCATTGATGTACTCTTGCGCTCGCGTAAGGAATTCTTTGTAACTGGACGGAGGCTTTCGGTTCAGCTCTCTCTTGAAAGGGGTAATTTTCTTCATGCTAGATAATGCCCCCATCAAGGCCTCCCTGTTGGTTATGTCTGTTGTCGCGACAACAGCTTCCCCATACCTTGCGAGCCACTCTTTTAATGACTCGTTTGGCTTCTGGTATATTGTCGTCAAATTCTGCTTTGGAGGGACATATTTTTTCACTCTCATAAACTGGAGGGAAAATGCTTCCTTCAACTCGTCCCAGCTTGAGATAGAGTTTGGTTTTAGCGTTCGAAACCATCTCCGGGCAAAGTCCGTTAGATGGTTTCGGAAGGCTCGGCACATGATCTCCTCGGCATATCCATGCAAGAGCATGTGCCCTGTGTACATTTCTAAGTGATCATCGGGATCCCCTCTGCCGTCATATGGTGGGATCGAGGGTGACCTGTATTTATCGGGGAGAGGTGGCGCCGTAATTTCCTCGGTAAACGAGTGGTCATGCCGGCTAGGTATGATGACGACGTTCACCACCTCGGCCACTCGCCCTATATTTTTCTTTAGGCCGGCGTTATCGCCCGTGAGCTTTTGCTCTAGGCTAGCCATGCGCTCCATAATGGCTAGTGCCTCCTCCGTAGAGATTGCTGAACCAGCTCCTCTCGACGCTTCTGCCCTCTGTGCGTTGGGTCCGCCTTTGGCACGTCTGCCCACTTGCGCCGACCCCGCATCTCTTGGAAGGTTTCTGCCTAGGTTCTGAGGTGGCGCTCCGGGGTTTCCCAGGCCTCTGGCTATTTGGTTCTCAGGAGCCCGGAGTCCGGCGGCCCTTAGACGATTGCCGGTGGATTGGGAGGGCCGAGGCTTGGGATCACCTCTAAGATTTCCACTGTCCCCGATTCCTTCCGGGATATCTTAACGGTCACCGGGGTTGTGGTTTCTAGCCACGGCATCTTCTAGCGGTCTCGGGGCGTCTTCCAGAGATGGCATCGAGTTTCTTCCCTCCAAGCGCTCAACTACAGTCATCAGTCCCCGCACCAGGTCGGTCAGGGTAGTGAGCTGGGCCTACATCTGCACAGGGTCTGGTTGCGGCATGTCTGGGGGTGGGGCTCCATTTCTAACCGTAGGTAGGTCTTCTTCCATCCCATCATCTGCCGGATGTGCGGCAATTTCTTCCATCTAGCCGCCTTGGTTGATGTCCTCGATTCTTCTTCTTGGAGGCATGTCAACAAACGTATGAACCAGAGATTCTGGGTTCGGTCCCTAGTAGAGTCGCCAATTGTTGACGGCTGAATTTCATCAACAGAAATACGCCGGGTTACCCATTGGTATCCCGTTGGGTTACCGGTTGGAAATTAATGGTATATTTGAAATCAAGCTGTGAAGTGTTTGTTGTGTTTTGTAAGCATGAGTTTAACACTTGAATGAGAGGACACATGAGACTTATAGTGGTTCACTCTGTTAATGAAGAGCTACATCCACTTATGTATGATGTATTTCTCTTGGACTCTTTACAATTTACATGCACGTATATTCTCTCTATCATCTAATACTCGAGAAGTCCTCTCCCTTTCGTGCATGGGGCTTTGCCCTTTTTATAGCACAAGCTTCCTTCGTGGGTGGTTTTCCTTCGTAGGTAGAAGTACTCGAGTGGCATACCCTTCTAGGCCTGAGCCGTAGCCCACAAATCACCTTTTAGACTGTTCACTCAGCCAATTGGTCTTCTATTACGGCTCTGTGGATTCCTGTAATTCTTCACTGCCCACTATAGGGTGGTTTAGGAGTTTGCAATTAATGCCCGTATTGCAGACGTCGCCCACCTCTAGACACAACTTGTGATGTCAGGCTCCTTTCTGAAGAGCATTCCCCTTGCCATCTGTGCCGCGTAGACCTCGTGTCCTTTCTGACAGTCAACCCTTTCCAGAGGAAGTTTGTTGTATAAGTTCGATGAAACAATTGGTCGACACCCTAATTAGGGCCTTTCTTGGCGTCGAGGGGAAGCGAGCTTCAAACGTCAAGGGTTGTCACCTTTTGAAGGGCAGTATGGTCACGTGTCACGCTGTTGCCGTTCCACATGTCACCCACATTTTCCCACACAACAGTAACTAATAACGCAAAATGAATCAATGATCTATCTTTCAACCATTAAGCATTCATCGATCATCAAAATGACATGACTATAAATTATAGTAGTAGTTATGCACACAAAGTTACATGAATCTTTAACTAAGTGTCCACGTACGGATCATTTCATTAAGTTTGCATAATTATACTTAGTATCACTAATTATATCGATTCATCTCTTAATCAGTAAGTATTCTCAGATCATTACTATGACGTACTCATACGTCAAATTTGATTTTGTAGTAATTAATTGAGTCTCGCGCTTAAGGAATAGATAATTGGCATATTTTTTGAATTTAAATCTCACGTTTAATCTAAAATTCTAACAATGTTGCAGCCACAAAAACATGCTTAATCAAAAATGAAGAAGGAAATTAGAAAAGACAAAGTTTCATTGATAATAAAAATCAGTGCAGAAATTCAAAATCACTATCTCTCAAAGAGAGATGCTTCCCCCCCACCCAAAACATGTACTGAAGTTGAACAAAACAAAAACTAAAAACATGAAAAAGGAGACAAAATAAAACTAAGGAAAGATACAACGTTTGACTGAGGAAATCCCAACAGAAAACCAACAATCTGTGTCTCCAAGAGAGGAAAACATTGTCTTTTCCCATACATGCATTGAAACAAACAAGTAAACATGCTGAAATAAAAAGGAAACAAACGACCCACTATAGCCTATCTTGCCATGTATAACTATAAAATGCACCAATTCTGGAGAAGACTATGGTTGAAGACAACTCAAGGAGTTTGGGATCTAGAAGAATCCAGACCAATACTTGCCGAATTCACCGGACGACGACTGTTCAGCCGCAGCATTTCCGCCATTAGTAGTCCCATTGCCATTGCTTTGAAACATTAGCATCTCAGGAGAAATCTGTGCTCCAATCTCACCAATTCCAGCATAGCCATAGCCATTGATGTTGCCTCCATTGTTACCATTGTCAGCTTGATAGTTCTCTTGGGTCTGTCCTAGAAATCCATGGCCTGAAATATCATTTCCAGCACCAAAATGAAAAATATTGTAATTAATCATATTGCTGTTGATAAAGTTATTCCCTCCAGCATAATTGCCTTGACCAGGTTGCAGCCCAAACCCTAGATTCTCACCACCAGATCCAATGTTGTTATGCCCATAGTTAGGGTTTTCTAGAGCACTCCCAATCACCATCTGATGTTGATTATTCTCCCCATTGATGGGCAGACCCCCAAAATTCACCTGTGGAGCAGCAAGACCCAAATCATTCACACTCATCCCACCAACAGTACTAGTATCAACATAGTTAGTGCTATTTCCTGCCCCAAAAAACACATATGATCCCAAATCCACTTCATTCCCAACATTATTAGCACTCACATTGTTAAGATTAATGTTAACCCCTTCTCCAAACACAGGAATAGTACTAATATTGTTGTTCCTATATGACTGAAACCCCACATTAGTATTAACCTCAATATTCCCACCATTGCTATTATACCCAAGCCCAAAAATGTCCCCATTATAAGCTTGGAGAGCACTACTAGATTCGCCACCGCCGCCGCCGCTGCCGCTGCCACCACCACCACCAGATGAAAAGGCCGACAAAGAACCGCCAGCAAGGAAATTATAGCCATTCAGATCCAGCGGTTGCACCCCCTGGAGGGGTTTACCATAGAACAACTCCCAAGGGAACTCCCGGAGGCCTGTCATTTCCTCCGTCGTGGGAGGAGGAAGGCTGAAAGAAGCGGTATCGCCACCGTCGTCGTCGTCGTCATCGTCGTCGTCGTCACCACCACCAGGCGCCACCGCAGGCTGGTCACGATGATAGTAGTTGTGAGGCTGCCGGAAAAACTCGAGCCTCCTCCGGGTCTCCTTCATCTTCTCCTCCAGCAGCCAGATCACGCTGTTGAGCTCGCTTATGTGGAACTGGCTCAGCGGCTTCCCTTCTCCGATCTCGAACATGACGTAGGACGTTACCCTTTCCTTGTTCTTCCGGAGAAGCTTCTGGAGTTGTTCCTTCATCTTGGTCGACCGCTCGCGGAGATAGCTCTCCTGGTTCACCATCTTCTTGCACCTCTCCATTTGCGGGACAGTCCGGAACCTCCTCATGAGGTGGCAGGCCTCCTCCGGCGACGGCCACACCGTCGGCACGTCCTCCCCGGGGCCGTAAATCACGATGAAGGCGCTGACGCCGCAGAGGGTCGTCAACTCCTGCACCTTCTTCACTAGCCCATTCTTCCTCTTCTTGAAGCTTTGCTTCCTTGATGTCTCATTTTTTATCCATGCAAGTTTGATTTTTCTTCTCATTGGGACAAATGGGAAATGGAAAAAAAAATAAAAATAAATAAATTTCACTCCTCACTCTAAAGTGTCTTGTTTTCAGTGAGACTGTGGGTGCGTAAAGAGTCCAATAATGAGATGTCTATTTATATTGAGAAATTAGGGTGAATATGGTAGGGTTTGGACAAGAAAAGTAAAAATAATGAGAGGGGTTTTGAGGGAGATTTTGTGAAGGTTTATATTAAAATATTATTTTTTAGGTGCATTAAATGTTCTTAGATACTCATTTTCCTCTAGGATTCTCACATTAATGTTGTGGCATTATACTTAGAGAGAATACATTATTATTTTACGCTTTTTCTGCATGTGGTATTCCATTTCTGAAAGGGTGATAAAAAAGGAATTGAAAAGCATTTGTTTTTCTTTTTTTTTTTTTGTTTTTTTTTTGTTTTTTTTGTTTTTTTTGTTTTTTGTTTTTTTGAAGAGATAAGAATTTGGTAATTTTCACCAAAGTTTACCATCAAAAGGTGTATAACACATGGAATGAGTGGTCTGTTACTTTGTACTTATCGGATTATCAGGATTAATCTGAGCGGTTTCATTTCCATGGTGAAGCAAAACATATCATGGAGAATATACATGTATACACAGAGTGGTCGATGCCATATGTACTAAAGGGCAAAAAAAAAAAAAAAGGAGATAAGAACGATTCCATTTGAGAAAGAAGGAAAGAAATAAGAGATCAGAATGAAATTAAGACTTAAATCCAAGGTGAATATTGTGCTTTACAAGAATTTATTTTGGTAATAATGACACTAATTTAATACACTCAAGTTCTTACATTTAAAGCTATACGTACCTAATGACATCATCATATTTACAAGAACTAAAAAGCAAACGTTTGTTTTCCAAATAGTAAACTGTAATTTGCATAGTACTTAATTAGTAATTAGTATTATTGTATCAAAAAAATTTATTAATATTAAGTTCCACTACTGCTCGTGAGAAACTCTTCTATGATGCAATAATCCTAGTAGTATATAAGACTCAAAACATGTGTTTCTCCTACTTGCACATAATTAAAGTGATTTTTTTTTTCTGTTAATTGTTTGACATGATGAAAACGAGTCTATTTTTTTAATTAATTACTTGGGATTTATGGAAGTGAGAGTTTTATTAGTTGGTTTGCGCAATATAATTAATTAACTACCGTCCAATTAGTACTTATAACCAACCTTTAATTAAGTAATGGCAGTTTCTTGGCATTTATGTCATTTATTCTTTTCAGGCACTGGAAATATTGTATTGTCCGAAAATGAAACAAGTTTTCTTTTTGGAGCTTATAAATTATATATAACGTAAGCAAATCGTATGAATAAAAGAATTCATAAGATAACATTGTTATGGCTATACTTCCTATACTCATGATGAAATGATACTGCTAATCACTATTTGTAAACTTACAAGTTAGGATTTACATGTGGTTTGTAGTCTTATTGTCTAGCAGTTGATTTCACATCTGATTCCACTTTAGATGTAGAGTTTAAATTCTCTCACATACGTCTCCACAAAATTTGTATAACTAATTTAAAAGATAGTTAACTAGGGATAGAATTGTCATCACATATTATTTTACAGATTTATATATAAATATAACAATTTGTGGACATTCTTTTTTTCATCCATTGTAAAATAGACATATATGTAATTAACTCTTTTCTCTTCAATACATGTATGTAGCCTGATTTTGATCTGGTCTTTTTTCCATCTTGGGTTTGTGTTGGACAAGCCCGGATTTACATGGGGCTAGGATTCTGAATAGGACGATAAGTCCAGTTAGGCCCAAGCCCAACTAATTAGAGCTTAATCAAGTTTGGCATTCTCTTTTTTACATTTAATTTTTTTTTTTTTTATTAATTTCTCAAACTATGGACACGTCAATGTGATATCAGAACACCCTTAACACATAAGGTCAAAGGAAAAATCCTGTCCCAAATCTTTTGATGTAATAATAAATGATCATATATGAGATAAGGTACCTAAAACATATTTTACATATGTCCTTATTCTATAACCTCAACATAAACATGTAGATTCTCAACTTATTGCTCGCTTGTACATTTGTATAGAATAGTGTTATATTGAGGTTATGATTTAACATGAGATTCAGAATGACTTTTATTTTTTATTTTTTGGTTTGAACTTCGTGATTTCTTTAATTTGGGACAATAGACCTATGAACAATCAATGTCTTGCCACTTGTCTTTTGTTAACGGCTTCTTGTGCTTGTTGGTCGCCTAGAGAAAGAGATATTAAATAAGTTGATAAAATTAGGTGATAAAGTACAAGCCTTACCATATATCCAAGCAAATAAAGTAGAAGCTAAGCCACATAATAAATTTAGATTCCCTTTTTAGTGATTCTCTTTCTGAATATATAATTTAGACTCAGATGTATATGTAAATGCTTTATCTACCTTTAGAAGTTATAATCCATGCTATCTCACCACATCCTGAAAACATGTTTTAGTCCTTACACGGTCTTGAAGTACTATTACTGACTGCTGTTTGTGCTATTTTCCAAACATCAACTTTCGAGGATACTCCATGTTCTCCTTTTCCGTCTTTCGACCACTCCTTAATTGGGGGATGCCGGGCCTCTCCATGAGTGTTTGGTAATCAGGTTTGGGGTTGTCCTGCAGAAGACACTCCGACACTCACGTCAGATAAATATCTCAAGAATCTAAGAATGAAAGTAAAGATAGAGAGGGGAATTTGGATTAGAGAAAGTCTCCAAAGGGTCTTAGGATGTCTCCTCTTTCTGAAGCTAGAGGAACCCTTTTCAACCTTCATCGTTATATATTTATACGTTGATTGTCATGATTAAATGGATATTCTTAAACCATTCTGATCATGACGCATCGTCAATTCTTTACTTTTAGGGTTGCTCCTAGGACATTCCTTTTCCGGAAGGCCCTTGCAAGCTTTTTAATCTGGGAAGGTCACTTTCAATTCTGTTATTCACTTTTCGCACGTCACATTTGTGTTAGCCGCATTAATTAGAGAAAAGTGGGACGCGTGTCACTGCCTCGGGATCCTCTCATTGACACGGGTCTTTCCTGCTTTCCCCTCGGTCTCGGTGTGACGGAATTCTTCTCGATGTCTTTCTTGATCTCACCCTTAATCTAGGTTCCAAAAGAAAAAATAGTTAAAACAATTACTTGAGTAAAAAAGCTCGCATTTAGTGTTCAATCCCCAAACAATATTGACCTCGAATCAAAAGCTAGCTTTTTACAAATAGAAATAAGTACTGATTCCATCAGTTAAAAATATTTATGCATTTCTATCCAACGACAAACCAATAACAACATTATGGTCAATTTTTTATATGTCATGTTGGTATGGTAAGAATAAAAAATCATGAACTTGCCACTAGCGAGTAATTTGGTCCCTCCATAACAGAAAAGAATCTCGTAAGTTATACTGTTTTAGAAGATTCTGATGGTGACTTTTAATTTAAACAAAATGTTCATGCATAATATCTAATCACCACTAACACAGGAACGACAAAAAGTTATACAAGAAAACCCCTAATCCACTTGCGTACTTAGTGGTAATCCCATTCCAAAATCCAACCCCCTTGAAATCCTTTCCAGCAATAATTTTCCTCTTAAAAGTGAGAAGCAAAAGGTATTTGGGCACTTTAATTTTACCTAATTAAACTACTTAATTAGTCAAACTAACATTCTTTAGACTTATCACATGATGTAATATTGTACATAGAATTTCTCAAATATATATATACATATATATGCTCTCTCATATATTTCACATAGCATTTCTCATATATATTTCTCATAGATTTTGAGCCAAAGGTTCTGAAAAATTGGAAGCGAAAACAAACCTTTATCTGACATGAGAGGCTTTGTTAAACAGGCCAAAATTGGTGTGTTTGTAATGATCGTTAATAAAGAAAGCTCTACAAAAAGTTGGTCTCCGAACGACGTGGATAGCAAATCCAACAGGGCAAAGATCGATGAAGGAAAAAAAACTAAACCCACTTAGACCTTTTTATACGTGCGAATTCAAGAGCATTCCACTTGAGCACCAACTATATAAACACACACACGCACATACAAATATATATATATATATATATATATATGTATGTATATATAATGCAAGAAAAAAAATGCCACGCGGCAAACGTCACACTCCACATTTATACGTGGGTTAGTGACACTTTTTTCTTAGATTAGATCTAGTACATAATTCATGAATATAGAGTACCTGTGACAGATCTAACCTATATGGTTTGGTGGGACCAAGCCAGGGTTTGCTTAATGGGGATATAGTTCATTTGATTATATGCCACTTGCCAAATACGGGAGAAAGTTGCGGGGGGCCCCAATTGTAGTATAAAGGTTTATGAATAATAGAGGGGAAAGATGGTACTAACTTTGTGACAAACTTTTATAATTATAGCCACTTTGGGAAAACTTTGGAAGCTTTTGGTCATGGCTAGGTTTGGACTATAATATTAGGTTTTCTTTTTCATTTTTCTTTTGACGGGAGAAGAACTATTATAAAGGTTTGGTTTAAACGTGAGGTTGAAGCCTAATTATGGGTATTCATTTTTCTTTAAAGGTTCGTGATGAAATGCCCCCGGTGTGATTTATTAAGAGGTCATCCTTAGGCAGTATTAATGTTAGGGTTAATTTCAAATTTTACTCTAATGAATAAGGGTTTATCTCATTTTACAATCAACAACTCAAAATGACACAAAACTATCCTTAAAATTTATTATAATAAGTTGCATATTGTATTTCCATCAATGAAATATCAATTTGTTAACGGTTTTAATCAGGTGAGGAAATATCAAAAGGCGATGGAGGGCGACGGTGATAAAAGCAAATATTGGAAGGCAATGGTGATACAGAGTTATGAGCAAAGGAAGGAGGCAACACTTATGGTTAGAATATATAGCGAAAAAGAATTTGCTGTTATAAAATAAATGTAAAAACCAAA